CCAGTGTTTTTGAGACCAAATGACATTACTCCATAGCAGTAAGACATCGATCAGTTATAAATGAGGAATGTTCTTGATCTGGGCCGTACATCGGTATCTGGTTTTATCTGAAGTACGCGTTCATGAAGCTGAGTAGTTCATGTCCCGCAGTGGCATCCACCATTTGATCTATTCTTGGTAAAGGAAAATTATCTTTAAGACATGCTTTGTTGAGATCGGTGAAGTCCATGCATACCCTCCAATCTCCATTGTGTTTTTTCACAAAGACCGGATTTGCAACCCACTTTGGGTATTTTACCTCACGGAGGAAATCGTTGTGCAATAATTTTTGCACTTCCTTGTTGAGTATTTCATATCTTTCAGGGTTCGGAGGTCGTCGTTTTTACTGCTTCGGTCGAACTGAGGGATCCACCTATAATTTGTGGCAGGCGATTTTGGGATCTATCCCTCTCATGTCCCCGTGATTCCAGGCAAAGATATCAAGGTTTTGTCTTAGGAAGGCCACAATTTCACTTCGGGTGGAGGGTTGCAGCTCACGCCCGACTTTGAGTTCTTTTGATGGGTCGTCAGCACAAATTTGAACCCCCTCTAGCTCTTCGACGGGTTCTCCGCCTTCGATCTTGGTCCGCAACTTTAGTGGAATGAGCTTGGATTTCCATATATTAGCCATATGTACTCCCAGGACGGTACGTTGATGGCTAGTGTAGGGTTTCAATTGACATCTTTTGGCGAGCTCCCTGTTTCCTTTGACTTCACCCACACCATGGGGTGTAGGGAATTTGATTGAATAGTGGTACAGAGACATTGCTGCTCTCAGGCTAAATAGTAGGGGCTATTCCCTTACAGCATCATAAGGTGATGGAGTGTCGAAAACTACGAACTCGGAGTTCGTCTTCACTTGTCGGGGTGCTAATCCTGACTCGACTTTGAGTTTGATCGATCCTTTGGCAGAAGTCAGGGCTCCGCTTAGTCCAAGGACCATATTTGAGTACGGTCGCAGGAAGTTAGCAAGGATACCGATCCATTTGAGAGTGTTGCTGAAGAGGATATTTCGAGCACTCCCCGTATCCAATAAGACTTTGGGGATGGTTACCCCAGCTACAGGCAATGAGATTACTAGAACTCTGAGGTAAGGATGTGGGTCCGCCTCTTTTTCGTCAAAGGACAATTGCTCATCTGTGGCTTTCTTGAGGTGCTTCTCTGTTATGCCGATCTCAGAGAGATCCGCAACAATTGATCTCTTCAGTTTGGCCTCCCCGACTTGCGTGTTTGCCCTGTCCCTTAGCATGTTGACTTGTGGCTTTGGCAGGTTGATATTGCACGCTCTTGCTTTGGCTTGATCACTTCGAATTATTGCTGTCCCGTAAGGAGCGGTAAATTTCATACGATAATGATAAATTGATGTAGCAGCTTTTAGCTCATGCAAAATGGGTCATCCCAATATTGCGTTATAGTTGGATGACAGATCGACTATCACGAAATCTACTAAGATCCTTCTCTGGCAAAGAGCTTCACCTAGCTCTACAACAAGGATGATCTAACCTCAGGCTTCAATAAGATCTCCGGAGAATCCCTGTAGTTTTCTTGAGTATGGTTGAAGGTAGCACTTCGAAATTTCCAGCTGCCTCAAAGTTTGTGATTACAGTATGTTGATCAAACTTTCGTTGTCTACTAATGTATGATGAACTTTTACTCCGGCAACTGGCATTGTGACCACTAGAGCGTTGCTTTGGTTTTGGAGGATTCTGTAGGAATCTTCCTCCGTGAACCAGAACCATTCTGGGTCTACCCCGATCGCGGGGTTTGATCCCAGTAGTTCGGCATGATTCTTACACTTCGGGCTTGTCTTCGTCTCGCCCTCCTAGATCCCTCAATATACTAATTTCCTCCAATCATCATTTTGATTTCGGCGTGTGGGGGTAAATTACGATTAGGGACTGCCTGCTGAGCTCGTGTGGGAGTCCCTTACAGTAGCGGTCGCTGCATCGTAGGTCGATCTGTCTCTTTCGATTTGGTAATAAGCTCCTGTAATCGACCTTTGCAAATCAAGTACTCAACTTCCTCCTTTAATTCCCGATAGTCATTAGTGTTATGACCCACCATCCTGTGATATCGGTAGTATCGTCCCTGTTGGTGTCCTGTCTGCCCATTCTTCTGGATCATAGGCCTGCGAAATGCCTCTTTTTCATTAGTTTGTGTGAATACTTCTTCCAAGGAGGCTTTGAGTGAGTGGTATTCTCGAAATTTGTATGGCTAAGCCTTAGGATGTTCTCTTTCTCTCCTATCCTTTTTTCTTTCAGGCTGAGGACTGCAGGTAAGTTTTTTCTCTTTTGCCGTATTGGCGCTGAGGTCAGGTTCGCATCTGGCTTCCTCTTGGTCAGAGGTTACTTCTTCAGCACTTATGTATTTCTCAGCTTGGTTCAAGAACTCGTGATAAGTTCTTGGGCCGTCTTCGTGTACTAACCACCAGAATCTCGTTCTGGGCCTAAATCCTGATAGTACGGCCATGAGTGCTGCGTTGTCAAATATTTTTTCCACTTCCATGGATTGCTTGTTGAATCTGCTCAAATAGCTTTTGAGGGATTCGCTTCTTTCTTGTTTGATGCTTACTAGCCGTTCTTTGGGCATGGTTCTAGCCTTGGAGCTCATGAACTGGGCCAAGAATGTCGTAGCCAGATCATTCCAATTTTTTAATGACCTCTGGTGCATTCTTTTAAACCACCTCTGAGCTTTGTCTCTCAGGGTTAGGGGGAATGACCGGCACATGATGGCGTTGTTTGTTCCCTGCAGTTCCATCCATGAGGTGTATTTGTCAAGGTGGTTGAGGGGATCACCATCTCCTTCTTACACGGCCATCTGGGGGATCTTCAATTTTTCAGGTAATGGTTCCATAAGGACATCCTCAATAAATGGGGAATGTCGCCTAGTGAGATTCTTCAATGCCATCTTTATTTTCAGCCTCCAGGTCAACTATGCGTCTTTTCAACGTGCTCAACTCGGGTTCTATTTGCTCTAGAGGACGTTTAAGGTCTGGGTCAGTTTGTCCTCGTATAGGGGTTAGCGAGCGTTAGGTCCCCAGCCTGTTGAACACACTGCCAGTCCTTCTTGCCCCAGGATCCTTACTCCTGACTTTGTTAGTTTGACTTCTTGAGGACTCTCCTCTTGAAAAGTGGAGAGTCCTCTTGGTAAGGGGATGTCTTGCTCTTGTCCTCGCAGGAGATTCTACCTCGATATCTGGTGAGGACAAGTGGGCTTGACTCCGTTCCAATCGTCTCACTGCATTTGTCAGTTTTTCCAGGGCTCCTTCATGGCGATCATCTGAGGGTCTTGTCGTCGTGGAGGACTTGGTGGAGTATTCGTTTCATGAGGATGGGTGTGAGATGAGTTTCTAGAACTTGAGGTATGACTCATGGCTCTTGAATTTTGTGGGGAGAATGAGACTATTTTTCACAATTGGGGCCTTCCTTCTAGCGCCAAACTGTTGACGTCAAAATTAACAAGGCTAATCTTAAGCCAACTTTAAGAAAAAAGGGAATTTATTGTTGAAAAATACCACAAAATACATTGAGAAAGTGTAATGGTACCATAAGCTATTGCATGAATTCGCCTTTTTTTACAAAAGTTCTACTCAACTATTTATACATAGTTTTAGCTGAAATTACATCAAATGAGTCAAATCAACTACAGTACTAAGCTCGAAACTTGGGTCATCAAATTCTTCTGTGATTGGTCGACGAGGTTGGTTGCCATGTGTCAATATTTTTCTCAGGTAATAATGACCTACAAGAGGCTTGAGGATCGGGTCTTTGGATTGGCGATTGTAGGCGGTGATGACGTCACTTGTGACAAGTGTATATGATTGATAGGGTGATATGACAAGAAGTAATCATGATATTTTTCTGAGATAACGGCGGGCGAGTCCGAGCTGGGAGTTGTGACCGAACTCACACTTGCCTGAGGTGGAGTTAGCGAATTGTTTTTGTTAGATCGGAGTATGGTTGTCAATATATGTATAGGGCAATTTGGCTCGAGCCACCCGTGGCGCGGCTCGAAAACAGCTTGAGTTGACCCAACTCAAGGTTTGGGCTGAGCCCTATTTTGGGAGAACGGGCCAAGCTTGAGCCAACCCGACTCGCCCGCTCGGACTCACGGGCCTTTAAAAAAAAAAAAAAAAAGAAGCAAAATCCCCACTCGGCTTCCTTAAGGCAAAATGCTGCCTTTTAAAAGGGAGCACATTGCTGCCTTAAATGGCAGCCTCAGTTGGCTGCCTTAAAAGGCAGTAGCACAATGCTGCCTTAATAGAAACCTAGAAGGAATTTAAATACTTTGTAAAAATTATACGTAGATAGTGAACAAAAAATGAAATATAGAAGAAAGTTGTCTTATCTCTTGACAAGCACATTTGGCTGGTTGGCTCATTCATCATAATGGCACTCAGTATTCCATTTTTTATTAATCACATAGCTTGATTCGATGTCAAAATATTAGAAAGCAAGGATTGGGTAGCTTAGCTGCATATGAGGAATTTTTTTTCACTTAAATAAATATGTCCACTGTACGTGAAGAAGTACAGATTAGTCATCTGAAAATTCGTAATATATGCTGTAAATAATATGGACCAAATTTTGGGTGGAGTTGAACTACATGTACAAAATTTTAAAACGATTTCACAGATTCTAAATTGCAAAGAATATTCCCCATGTGGCCCTTTAAAAGGCAGCACAATGCTGCCTTCAGTTTACTTATTAAAAATAACAAAAGAGCAAAAAAAAATGACTAGGCCGGGCTTGGGAAGGCACTAGCCGAAAGCTCCGGGCAAGCATAAATTTTTTGGTTGGGCAAAAGTTCGGCTTGACTCGGGCCCGAAAAAGCTCGCACATTTTATTCGAGTAGAGTCTAAGCCTCGAGTTTTGGCTCGTGAGCAAGTTAACTTGACTCGTTGACATTCCAATGCATGTATGAACAAAAGGGGGCTAAAAATTGCATAAGACCCAACATTTTTACTACAAAATATATATGTTTTCTTTAATAATATTCACATGCAGTCAGGTTCTGCTAAACATATAACGACTTTTTATAAGATACAACATATCCCAAAAACCCTAACTGGGGACTCCGTACTCCTAATCTAAGGCACCCTCTTTGGATATAAATCTTTTATTATATATCCAGTATATATAAGCAGCATACATGTGTGTAGTAAAAGGAAACTAGTTTGTTTAACAAAATCCATCATGCTAATTATGAATTGGAGTTTTCTTTCTTGCAGGAGTGTAATCCATTACTGCTAAATCTTCAATATCAGGGAGCTCTTGTTTTGTTCCAATGATTCCTTTCTGATTTTCGGTATTTTTCGGCTGAGGATTCTCCATTTTAAAACGCCTTGCTGCAGAATTTAAGACGAACAAAAATGAAAATCCGTTTCAAAAATTAGATATTTTAGTTCTTGAAACCTAAAAAAATGAAAAGAAGAAACAAAAATCATACCTTGACAACAGGTTGAGACAAAGCAAAAGAGTAAAAGAACTAGCAGAACAATATGCTTGGTGGACAAAGCGGCCATCTTAGCTACAAAAATATGTGATTTTAGTATATGAACAAATCTTTCTGCGTTTTGGACTCTTCAAGTGCAAGAAAAATCCTATTTATAGGCGGAAATTGAAAGGGTCAGATTCATGGCAGGTGTTCAACATCGATATGGAAAAATTCTGCAAGTAAACTTGTCTGTAGAGGTCCCGCCTGGGGACATAGAGTCACAATCAGTGTCCTCAGAATATTTTTGCAGAAATGATTATTTGGGTTGCAAAGTAAATCATGATCTGCTTGCTCCAATATAAGACAACATAAGCATATGATCAGTGACTAGGGATAAACTAGGGTTCGAGGGCTATGTATATTGATGCATGCATATTATCATGAAGAAACAGATCATATGCTCGGTTTCTTGTGTAATGTGTGGAGAATTAATGGTACAGAAATTTTGGAACCCTAGCATAGTCTGGTTTGGCTATTTTTAGCCCCTCGTTTCGTAGGAATTTTTCACCCCAAAAAATCAAATTTTTGACAGTTATTTCATTATTCTGGCCATCATTTTTTACTTATTCACTCACAGGTAAGACCCATTTTTCTCTCTAACGATCAAAAAATCAATTCTCATAATTACTATCGAAGAGGCCTTAGTGTTTCCGATCAACTTATACTCGATTAATAGTTGTTTAGGCTCTAGTTTTTGGAAATTAGGGAGTGCACTCTCTCTCTCTCTCTCCCATCCAAATTAATAAAAAATATTTAAGAATTTTGAAGTTCGAACTTTTGATGTTTTCAAGTGCTTTAGAAAACCATTGCCTTGATTGGATCCCCTTATTGGAAGTAAGCCTCCTGGCTGGTTTAGTTAAAAATTATCAGTAGATTTTAGTTGAAAATTTATGCGTTCCAAAAAGTATATCGTTAAAATTAATTGTTAGTTTTGACTTAAATTATTGTCAACTTTTTAGTTAAATCAAACGGAGGCATAATTTTTTTAATAGAACACCAACTCGATAGATTTTATTTCCAGCATGAACAGTTACATACATGTCAGATTCATTCGAAGAAAATTTTATCTTCAAGATGTCGAAATTGGCTTCCATCAAAGTTCTAACAATTGTATAATTTATTTAACTAGACAACAAATAAACTTAGAACTTGAAGACTTGAGTCTCCTTTTACATTATCTTGAACTACCGGAGCCAAATTAGAGGGAAATTATATGAATTAAGTCCATTTATATCCATAAGAATGCATTAATTAATAAGGATCCGGCAGTGACGGACCGCCTTCAAATCTGGATAAGGTGATTGATAGCGGCAACTACAAAATACTTCACATGGCATGCAACCCGTTTCATGTCTTTTGTGGGCACTTGTTGTCTCCATAGAGAACACATCAAATATTTTGTTAATTTCCTCCTTACATTTAGACATGAGATAGTAATCATAGACTAACTAATAACCACATATACATAAACATTAAAAGAGAGAGAGGGAACCTAATTAATTATGGAGAAAATTGAGCAAAACAATTGAGAGAGAATAGGAGAGAAAAATTAATAATTTTCTTCGTAATTCTCGAATTAGTTATTGTTGTTTTCTGAGGTTTGGAGGAGATCGTTGGTGGGTGTTTTTCAAGTTTTGGGTACGAGAGATATTATGCTATTGTACAATAGTCAAATATGTCATTTACGATCAGTTATTTTTCTCCAATTTAAAGCTTTTCACGTAAATTTTGGCGATTTTTTTCTCTAATTCCGTTTCTTTATTCATCTTGATATTTTCTTGGATGAGAATCTTGGGAGTGGATTAGAAAATTGGTATGGATGGAACAAAATACGATTTTTAAAAAAAAAAATTGTAGTGGAAGTAGGGCTTGATCTAGAACCTTGCTTCTTCACATGGACATCACCACTTTGGCACTTTCCTCTGGCAAGAAATCCCGAAGCATGAAACTTAATACTTTCTGTACTATTTAATTACCATTTTTTTTATTATTATTTTTTAACTATTATTCATTTCTAAGTCTCAATCATTTAACACGTGTCAATTAAATAGTAACATTTAGCCCCCGTTTGTTTCTCATTTTTGGAAGAATGAGAATGAAAAATATAGCCGTTACGACCCCACACAAAAGATAGAAATTCAAATTTGGTGGCTTGATGTGATGGATAACGGTTATATTTTTTATTTTAATAAGGAAAGAATGAGAACCAAACAAGGGTTTAGTACTAAATTTTTTTCTAAGTTATAGAGACCAGTTATTTAATTAACCCAAATTTGAATTTGGTTTTCAAATTTTAAATATTAAACATGTGGGTCATGATAAATTGTGACGAATTGAAATCTACCTAATTAAATTGACAATAAAATATTGCTATCATCCTATCAATGCTAGTAAATAACAAAACAACGACGTGCAATTATTGAAAAATTCGATAGTAACTTAATCACAAAATTAATTACATTGCTAATTAATTTAAGTCAATTAGTAATCACGACGTTAATGAGGTTAAGTATAATATAATAATTCTACTTAGTGTGTAGGTGGGGTGAGGTCGAGTTGGACTTTTAATATGTTCATTAGACCGCTTCATTCATATTTGTCTGTATCAATCAAAAATTTCTAGATTCTTAAACCAAATTTGGTGTTACTCGTCGTCTTGCTGGATCTTGAACAATTGAGCACCTATTTCTGCATTTATGCATCAACCATTTCCATAAACACAAAAGTTTTCATGAATCCTAAGAAGCATCGAGATAGACCTTTTTGTGTATGTTGAGGGCTCAAATTCCGACATAGAACATCTAAAATTTATTATATGTGGTTGAAAAAATGATAAAACTTGTAGATCCTATATAATTTATTATTGAAATAAGTTTGGGGAAAAAATATTTTTTTGAAAATTAGTGTTGTTGGCGCCCGATCTCATGCTTCCTCAGCATTTTTCTTTCTTTCTTTTTTTTTTCTTTTTTTTTTTCCGGAAAAATGTAAATATTGTTGCGACAAAATTATAGTTAGGATCCATTTGATTGCAAAGATAGAATTGAATTGAATTGAATTGAATTGAATTGAAAACGAATTTCAAGGAATTGAATTGCCTAAAAATTGTTTTTCTAAGAATTGTAAATTATTGTGTTTGATTGGTATAATTTTTCAAGTGGAAAATGTTGAAATAAAAGTATTTTTTGGTGTTCGTTTAACTTTGTTTTACATGAAAATTATCAATTAAAGGGATAAATTTTACTGGTATTAGGGATGAAATTTGTTTCCATTGCCAGCCAAAAAAAAAAATTTCAAGAAAATCATTCGTCTTTTGGTGTTCGTTTGAATTTATTTTACATGAAAATTGTCAATTAAAGGAAAATATTTTTTTACATTTATTCTTAGAATTTGTTTCCATTGCCAAAAAAAAAAAAAATGCTACAGTAATCCGGGAAAATGAATTCTCACCATTTTCCTCAAAAAGAAGGAAAATGTCTATGTGGCATCAACAAGTGGAAAATGAATTCCAAGGAAATTTTTGTCAATCAAACACCAAAAAAAATTTGAAAAGATGGAATTGCAATTCCATTTTCCATAGAATTTCCTACCTATCAAACACACCCTTAGATCAGACCATTAGAACCTTAGTGTTAGGTCGGACATTGGCCGTCATTATGAGAAGAAGCATCATCACTTCTTCTTGAAAAGTTGCCTTTGGATCACGTCCCTACGTCAAGATCCAACACTCCTAAGAAGATTGAAATTTTGGGGCCTTGTGTCGACTTCGTACGAGGCATTCTCCGTACAGTTGAAAATAAATATACATGCAATGCTTAGGACTTAAGACTTTGTTTGGAAAGCAATGGAATTATAAATAGTTTATAAGTCAAAGTCAACATTAATTTTTAAATACGATCACCATAAGAGCAGATTCGACGGGAAATAGGGTTTATAGAGCTTGGATATGTGTGGGGGTTGTTATCTCATTGGTGAGCTAAAGGCCGTGCTCGCACATTCTTGAATGTACGAGCATCGGATCGGGTTTGGTTTCTTGTTCCAGTTCTGATTCTTGGAACGGGTTTTAGTTATTTAATTCTCTTTTAATTTACACATTCAACACTACCATTCAGTCTATAATCAAAAGTGAAAAACCAAGTTCTGGAATTGAGGAACATTGCTGGTGACTAACAAATATGGCACTTAATGCAGCTAGCGAACTTCATCAATATCACCAATAAATACCTTTCAAATTCCCAAATTTGTAATGGGCACAAAATTGCATATTCATCGTGTTTGGTTGTGTTTTAAAGTTATTAATTTCATTTTAAAATAATTTTTTTTTACAAATATATTGACTAAGTTACTTTTTTAAATTAGTTAAAGAAGTTACTTATAAGTGAATAAGTTTTTAAGGAAAATATTCAGTTATACACTTGATGCATACAAAAGCATACCTCCAGGAGCTTAGAACCAAATTAATGACAAGGATATTATCAAGCGTGAGATATAGACGCTGCTTCGAAATAACATGTGCATATCACGTGTCTATTTTCATTTTTAAAAATTTTTCTTTTATATGAGTCGAGATGATTTACTTAAAATCTATCTCGATATAAAGTAAGACACTCTGACTTGCTCGATTAAAAAATGTTAGCGATAGATAATTACAACTTGATACTAAAATATATTGACTTGCACTTAGATGAATAGAGAATCCAATAGAAGAGTTTTACTTGAATTTCAAATTTTAATTACCTTTTACATGGAGTAAAGTTTTAAAATTTGGGGTTTTATTTTAAAATATGAACCATATTAAGAGGACTGGCGCGTTGTTTGAAGGTTTATATTTTGGTATATAATCTATGTGAAATTTAACTCTTAACATGTTCTGCAAAATGGTGACTCGTTTGAAAACATCAATCTTGAAAGTATTTGTTCTCATTTTAATTTTAATCGAATCGAATTGTTTGTTTTAACTTATGAGTTCTAATATTTTGTATATTGAAATATAAATTAGTATGTAACAACATGAAGTTTGTCCATTTGACACAAAGAACCTTATAATTAAATGGGTGAAATAGGTAAAGACTCGTATTTTCGTAATAACACATTGAAACAAGTAATGTGTGAGGTCTCTTCATTCTTCAACA